CTGGTCTTCAATGGCATTACAACGATAAAAACGATGATGTAGTTAATCCATAGATTAATATCCAATGGGGCTGTGTCCCCTTTGAAATGTTCTGATAATCTATAAGCAATAAAACTGCAATTCCGTTATCTGCTGTCCGCTCTGTGCTCCGTGCGCTCTGGGTCCTGCTGCATTTCCTGCTTCGTTACGTTGTAAACAATAAATGAAGTCGGCTGCGTAATGTACTTAAGCTGGCTGGCATTCTTTATACTTTATGCAGGACCATATCTCTGGAACCCATTGGTCGATTTGTGTGATTTACACCTTTTTCTTAACCATCAGAACCAATAGAATCGATGGGCAGTTCCCAAATCTACGTAAACATTACCATAGCGGACGTAATAGAGAAGCAAACGAAGCAAGCCTGGACGGCAATACTTTATACCGAGTATATTGCCATAAATATGATGATTGATTATCAGTAATAAAAAAAAATCTACGTGACACAAAGACATTGGATTAACCTTGAGATGCGTTTTTATTCCGTTGAACACAACTTTTGATCACAAATCAAAAAAGGTAAGACGTAATTATTGTAATATTTTTGGAACCGGATGTTGTTTACTTTCTCTTTTCTGGCTGATAGCACCAGGAATTCGAGGTCTTACAGTGATGACATTACATGTGTGGAATCTGTGGAGTCTCAGCTTTAAATCGTATATCTTGTTTGTGCAGTTAAGATAGTAATAAGGGCATTTCTACCGTGTGTTGTGTGTAAAAAAGCGTTAGCATTAGTTAGCATTTTTTCGCTCAATGCTAATTCAAAGAATTGGTATTACTCTTGTGTTTTTTTTTAGCTAACAATTGTTCTTATTGTCAGTTAGCGGAGTTTCTTACCTTTAAAAGGGTATGAAACATTAATAGTTTCATAAATGTTATGAAGCCCTGAGACATGTGAGAAAAAAAAAACTGTGGGAGGGGTCCACTGGGGGGACCTTCGGGCTTAACTGGTTAATTGGATGGGACTTGATTGGAGTCAATATTAGAGTAATTTTCTCGTTTGTGTGTTTATTTAAATATATTTGGCCTTTGTTTATGTGACTGAATGATTTACTCAAATAAAAAGGTTGATGAATTATCATCTAATGATTTGTATGATGTTTTATTTATGTTAAAGGTCACTTTGAATGATTTTAACTAATGATAATGTAGAAAAACTAACATTTTAAATTCGGGACGGTCCACATTAATTTCGGGACGGCTTAGATTGTATTTCGGGACGGTTCCGGGAGGATGGGGAAACAAGTTAGTCGAGAGCCCTGGCGCTGGCTACTCCGGCGGAGACGGACCGCTATGCTACCCACAATTTAGTTCGGCGAAAAGCGAGGCAACGTGACGTCACCCCATTCAAAGTGAATGGGCAGACGCGTTGGAAACTGTTTTTGAAGCTGTCGACGCTGTAGTGTGGACGCAGCGTAAGAGTGCAGCTCACATTCAAGAGCTGACCGTCCCTTGATTTAAAAAACAAACAAAAAAAACCAGTGCCTTGCAATTTTATATCCATGTTTTTGTTTACATTTTATATTTGAATTGTGTTACTCCAATAAGATGGAAATATAATACTTTGTTTATTCATGTTATGTTAACATGTTATGTTAAGCTGCTGTTGTTCATTGCATTAATACTAGACTAGTTAGTCTTAAGGCTAGAATTCTGCACTAAGCCAAATTTGTATTTTATTATTTGTGACTGAATGTGAACTTGTGAAGCTAGTCAAGCTACCTCTTTCCAATACAGTTATTTTTGTTTTGTTAGTGCACTATCTGCACTCAATTTGTTTACATGGTTATTTTGTGGTGAACCACTGATAAGCTTGATTTTGTTTTGATCCAATGCTGCTGTGAAGCTATCAATGTTGGATAGAATGGGTCATTTCAATCAAAGAATAACCTTAAGGGACAACTTGAATGCTTTTTTTCTTTTAATGCATTGCATAAAGATCGGATCTGGAAAAATCGGTATCGGCAGATTGTCAAAATCAAATGATCGGAATCGGATCGGGAGCAAAAAAAGGTGATCGGGACATCCCTAATTTTTAGGCTCAGCAAAGATTTGTTTTCAGTTTGTATAGGTGTTGCTATCTACAATCAGAGAGTTACGTTATGTGTACACATAAATCATTTGTCAAAACAGGGCTAAATTGGATTGAATTATAAAAAGGTATATTTTCGCAGATAAACCTATTAACCCCGCCTCCTTTAAAAAAAAAAAACAGCTCTCGCAAAGGAAGGGAGCCATAAGATCCGGCTCCCTTCAAAGAGCCATAATTCCCATCACTAATTCAAACACTTGTTAGTAAAACTCACAACTAGGGCTGGGCGATTTTCACGATTAATTTGCATTTTTACTTTCCTACGGTTTGTGAAATGGCTGAACCGAAAAATCGCGATTTAAAAACATTTCTAGACTCCTCAGATTTGTTTTTGCTTTAAGGGACTCCGTAGTAGCTTACTCTCTCACTTTCCAGAACGCGCCCAAAACTTAGCCACATTGCCTGTGACTACCCGATCTGCAGCTCTGCCCGATCTGCTGTTGTTATGCTGTGTTCATTATTCTCGCGTCCAGGAGAGAAGCTTTAAAAGGAGACTAAATGGAGTCTCTGAGAAGGTTCAAATGGTGCTTTAATTAAAAAAGCTCTCGTGAGCGAAGGGAAGAGAGCGAGCTCCACCTCTCCAGCTGATATATCTCCTCCGCTGGCTCGCTGTGGGCCGGTTGGCGCTGCTGGGGGCCGGCCCTCCACGTCTCCAATGTTCGTTGTTGAGCATAACAGAGGACTCCGACATTGTACATTAAATATATAACTAAACACGCCTGTTCTCCTCCTTATCTCTTTCATGACTTTTCATTTAATACATTTTAAACGCTGTAATCAATACTCCAAAAATACAGGAAATACTTCACGGCTGGTTTCATTTACGGTAGTTCCGGATGTTGTCTCATACTACTACCCACGTCTGTAAACAAACGTATTCAAATAAACTGTACCTTCATTTAATATTCAGCAATAATAATATCTCCACGTCTATAGTTGTAGTTTTGAAATCAGTAGGTTTCGGTGTGCAACACTCCGTGTCATATCGCTACTAAATTCACCTCTATAGTAAATGGTATATTAGCCACATGCTAAATGCTAACCGTCCGGAGATGAAGGATTTTCAGAATAAAACTGGTTGTGCACAAGAACTTCTAGTTTTTCCGTATAAAACAGCATTTAAACTGACGGTATGCGTAACATTTATGATATTAAAACACATTTTACACCTCACCGTGTTTTATTCTTATAGAAGTAAGAAGAGAAGTAATGGGGCAGAAACCCTCCTTTTTACGCATTTTTTAAATCAATAAAATCATTTTCTAAATCCATAAAAGCATTTCAATTAATATTGGGAGTCATGTCGTTACTTTGTTGAGAATTTGACCATGTAATAAGCGGGATAATGTGCACATTGCACATTGCATAATGTGCCTTCATGCCGATCCCTCCGCAAAAAAAAACGGCTCGTTCGCGGGCGAGAGCCGGCTCCCGTCGTTCACTTAAATAGTTCGCGACCGACACATCACTACGACAGACGTAGCATAAAAATGTCCACGAACACAGATGAAGAAGAACTCATTCCTAAAAAAGGTGCCACTTCAGTTGTATGGAAGTGGTTCGGGTACAAGCGGTCAGACATAGAACAAACAACTGTTCTTCTGTGTAAGGTCTGTAGAAAGACGATCGCTGCAAAACATGGGAACACAACCAACTTATTTCAGCACCTGCGACAGAGACATGCAGTGGAATGGCAGCAGTGTGTAGCACTATGAGATGCAGATGCTAGCTCAAGCCACAAAGCGCCTGCAAAAAAGCAGGTAACCTTGGCAGCAGCATTTTCAACAGTCATTCCTTATGACAAGAAAGGGCCCCGGTGGCAGGCGATCACAGATGCGGTGACATATTACATCGCAAAATATATGGTCCCCATCTATACCGTAGAAAAAAACGGGTTCATTAAGATGCTGCAAACAATAGACCCGAAATATCAACTGCCCAGCCGCAAGCATTTCGCCACAGTTGCATTGCCCAATTTATATAACAAAACAAGAGCTACAGTCGCAGAGCAGCTGCAAAACATAGTTTATTATTCCACCACTACCGACCTATGGTCCAGCCGAACCACACACCCATATTTGAGTCTGACCGTGCATTTTATTGACAGAGAATGGGCCCTGCGAGGCATGTGCCTGCAGACATCGTACTTCCCGGACGACCACACTGGCGAAGTAATAGCCCAAGGGTTACAAGACTCGCTGGCCTCCTGGAAGCTTCGAGAAGACCGTCTTGTTTGCATGACTACGGACAGCGGTTCCAACATGATTAAAGCCTTGAGACTGACTGAGTGGCCCAACCTCCAATGCTTTGGACACAGACTTCACAATGCCATCAGTAAGTGACTACACAATGCATAACAAAGTGCTACATGTATGTATAAAAACGAATTGAATGGATTGATGCAGTTGCATATTAGGTTCAGTGATGGCTTTAGTGTGGGGGAGGGGAAATGCAAGACAACCTATCTATTCAGTAAAAAAGTCTTGAGCCTTGATACAGTTATGCATAGTTGCCATAAGTACATAAATAATGTAATACTAATATGTGTGTGTGTGTGTGTGTAGGCTACGCATTCATTAAATTATACTTTTCTTTGTCAAACAGAATTAAGCTTAATTAAGAAGTGTTAGACTATCATAATGTGTAAGATAATATGTATGCGTGTGTTCCTGTGGACACACTAGGCTATGTGTTAAAGAGAAACACACTCAAAAAAATGATTCAAGCCCTTCTTAGACTTGACACATTAAAAATTGTTTCACTTTACTTAAATATTTTTATTTAAGAAATAAACCTAAGTATAGTTCATTAGTGTAACACAAATTACATTAATCAATTCACTTATTAAATTTATTTAAGACAGAGCAACTCAAAATGAATTGTTTTCATTGGGGACCGCCCCTTTGCACACCCCCTTTGCGTATGCGCAACATCCGTTCTGTCATTTGCCGCCTTTTGTCTAACACTGACTGTGGAAACTGACTGGGGAAACTGACGGTGGAAAGTCTATTATTTGGTAAGTATTTGTTTTTTCTAGTAGTTTAGAATGTTCCCTGTTTCCAAGTAATGCCTTTTCATAATATCGACAAGAATATTTGAAACCACCGTGTTATATTTTGCTCCGTTTTTAGTTGGGTCTAAACAGCAAGCTAGCTAGCTTGCTAGATATGGTTAGCATTGAATACTGGATAGTAGAGATCATTAGATTATATTACATTAGATTTAACGTTATTGTCATTGAACACAGTACACCGAAATTCAGTTTAAGTTCAACCAAAAAATGCAAAGAGTAATTAAAGTGCATGAGGTAAAGCGGCAAGCTAGCTAGCCAGATAACTGGTTTGTTAGCTAGCTTGCTAAATACGGTTAGCATTGGATAATGGAGATCATTAGATTATATTACATTCGATTTAATGTTATTGTCATTGAACACAGTACACCGAAATTCAGTTTAAATTCAACCAAAAAATGCAAAGAGTAATTCAAGTGCATGAGGTAAAGCGGCAAGCTAGCTAGCCAAATAACTGGTTTGTTAGCTAGCTTGCTAGTTACGGTTAGCATTGGATACTGGATAATGGAGATCATTAGATTATATTACATTCGATTTAATGTTATTGTCATTGAACACAGTACACCGAAATTCAGTTTAAATTCAACCAAAAAATGCAAAGAGTAATTCAAGTGCATGAGGTAAAGCGGCAAGCTAGCTAGCCAAATAACTGGTTTGTTAGCTAGCTTGCTAGATACGGTTAGCATTGGATACTGGATAATGGAGATCATTAGATTATATTACATTCGATTTAACGTTATTGTCATTGAACACAGTACACCGAAATTCAGTTTAAATTCAACCAAAAAATGCAAAGAGTAATTCAAGTGAATGAAGTAACAGTATAGGAGGCAGAGCCTGCATGCAAGGGCTGCCATTTTCTATCATAATGCTCAGCAGGTCTGTCCATCTCTCTCCTGGCTTTAGTGCAGGCAGGCAGAGGAGGACAGGCGGAGCCACTCGTTTCTGTAGGAGTTCAGTTGAGTTTAGTTTTTTACTGCCAAATATTTAATATAAATAATGAGATTGAATCTTGTATGGGTTACTTCACTCACAAGCAGGCACCCAGAGTTGTGCAGAAACGTTTTTTGGGTTGTGCAATCTTAGGCAATTATGTGTTTTCTGTGAAAATTCAAATATATAAGCATTTTAATCACACCTCTAAAATATATTTGTTGTCTTTTGCAGTTTGATCAGCATTAACAAGCACCTTGGGGAAACCTCTTATTTATGGTAAGTACACGGCTACTTTCACAATACTTGCACAAGCTGATCTGTGACATTGTCAGTTGTTCAGTGTCAATTGCTAATTCTATTTTTTCTCTTTTTCAGGTTATGCATGTGGCAGTGCAAACACTGCAGTTTGGAACTAGCTAGCAGGTATTTGTTGTTAAAACATTTCCAGCAGACACATGCACATTTAAGGGGCAGTTAAACTGTACAAATATTTTTATGTTCATCTTTGATATAATCCTAATGTGTTTCTTTCTTGTTATTCTTTCACCTTGTTTCTGCTCTAGATTAAAAGGTGTTCCATAACGGCAGGTCGGGCGCTTCTGCGCATCATCTTTGCCGACCAGTCTGACTCTAGACAACTGACCCTGGATTCGGGAATCCCAGCAACAGTTGAAGAACTGCACACATTTGTCAAGACATCTCTTCAATTGAAAGAGGACTTCCGTCTGCAATACATGGATGTTGACTTTAACGAGTTCATGAATCTTGCATCAGTGTCTGAAATTCAGGATAAAAGCACACTGAAAGTAATTTACTCTCCTATATTGTCAAATATTGAGCCCTCCATCACTTAGTACACAGTTGACTCATTTGATAAGACCTCAATTACTGGAAGCTCAGAGCCTCTAATCCCTGCATCATCAATAGCCTCATGCTGCAGTGACGATATGGTGTATACGTCAACCCCGCATCCATCCCCTGAAGCTCAGGCCTCACAATTGTTATCCTGGCCCACAGTTTTTGTGGTTCCTAAGCTCACCTACGAGGCTGAATTTGAGCTTCATCTACAGAATGCAGAGTTTGAGACAACTGGTACATACTTCCAGCCTGGCCTAAAGCTGAAAGGAGTCATTCTTGATGGCCTAGCCGAAGAAATGATCAAATTCACAAAATATCCAAAAGACTATCAGTGTGAAGAGGTAGCTGCAGCGTTGACGAGGGCCCACCCTTGTTTGGGGCAGCTAGGATCCAAGACAGGATTTGGGGGGTGGAAACAGTCTCTTAAGTACAAAATGCAAAACTATCGTACAAAGCTTGGCCGTCTTGGACATCCTGAAATCCTTGTGAACTCCTTAAAGCACAAGAAAACAGGCCAAGGCAAAGCTGCAGCAAACATAAAAAAAACAAGAAAAGCTGAAATAAACTACATTCCTCTGCACCCAAAAGGCGAAACCACAGAAAGCTTGGAGAACGAGAGAATTGCCTTATTGTCAGAACTGAAAAAGCGTGACAATGAAGTGGTGATAAAAGCAAAAATGGAAAAAACCTTCTCCCACAGACGCCTTGAGATTGTGGAGCAAAGGCCTTTGATAGGGGACTTCAAATGCAGATGGCCTGCTCTGTTTCAGCAGAGTGAAGTAAGTAAATATTTGTATTTGTTGACAGTCTTTTATTATTGTCCTTTGTGATTCATGTCTACATCCTTGCATGGTTGTGATTCTAATAAACAAGTAACAATTGGTTGTATTGTGCTTGTTAATAATATTTTTAAGGTGAATGCGGAGTTTTTGAGGATCACAACATCACCACTTCCATCAAAGTTCATGTGGCAGCTGGACCACTTCTCAGACCAGCTCTTGAAGATCTTCAAGACCAAAGGAGGACTAAAGGGCCACAAAATCAAGGAAGCCCTTGCAATATCAGATTTGGTTAGTATAAATGCAGAGAACCTCGTTTTTCACTGTATTGTTTTTGTCCATGATCATATGAACACATTTAAGAAATTGTCTGCTTTTATAGTGTTTTTAAGGCAATAGCTTATTGTGGAAATGTAGGTGTAAGGAGTCCTGCTTAGGGACACACACGACAGATACAGCCCTCTACTTTGTAGACCTGCTCTGTTGCACATGCATTGTGCTTAATTGTCTTTGATTTATCGCCCCTGCTTTAGTTTGAAAACATCCACATCAAGAGGGGGTGCATCCTGCGAAGCATCGCGATCTACCTCAACGAGGATCCAGACTCTTTTTTTAAGGAGTATCAGGTATGTTTATCACAATATGTTTTCAATGTAGTGGTTAACAGTGTTACCCACAATTATAACCACCATTACTTACATTTATAATAAGAAAATTCTATGGCACACAACCCTATCCCTGCTTACATCTAAATATCTTATCACATATCATAAATACATGCAGAAATAAATAAATGTATACATTAATATATGTAAGAATGAATAAATACAGAAATAAAAAAATAATAATAAATAGATACAGAAGTAATTTCATCGGGCAAGTGTTAAAATAAATATAGAAAAAAGTGAATTAATACATTTATACAGATATAAATACATCTATAAATTAACATAGGAATACAATTGATAAATACAAATGTGAATTAAAACATGAATATATCTGGAAATAAATACAAATAATAAATGAATGCTGAAATAAATATTTACATTTATATATAAATACATCTATAAATGAATAAATAAATATGGACATGAATACATATGTAAGAACTTATAAATAATTGAATAAATACATAAATAAAATAATAAATAAATGCTGAAATACAGAAATATATTAATCAATAGATTCATGTTTAAAAAGGTATGTGAATGCAGCAATTACTAAATTGTTAAAAGAATAATTACATAATCACATAAATCAAGGAAATAAATTATTAAATAATAAATAATCAAATACATATCAAAATAAGTAGGTAAATGCATAATTAACTACAGGAATAACAACAAATTACATGATTAAGTAGGGATGTAAACAAATAACTTAATACCTGAATTAATAAATAAGATAAAGTTGATAATCAAACAGAACATACAGGAATATATCTTTATAACTTATTTATGTAAACATTTTCTTACAAGCTTAATTTAGTTCTGTGTTGGAGGTCCTAACCTTCTCTGGTATCACTCAGGACATTTTTGTCCAAATTGGTAATTTTTCACGTCAGATTTGGCTATAATGATTTTGTGTTTTTTCTAGATACTTTTTGGAATTTCAATTTTTCTAATCGGTCTCGAATACACTGTGTACAAATTACCCTAATTGTCCATTTAAAAAATGTCCCCGGGAAAAATATTTAAATATAATATTGTTATCATATCATTTTATCATTCAAGTTTTTGAAAGTGGACATTTTTATCCTGAGTGGCCAGATTGGGTAGTACATTTGAGTGATACCAGAGGGTTAGTCTAAAACTGTTTTGATCAATGAGGAGAGCCACATAAGTAAATCTGCTTCTATAAAATGTAGTAATTCAGGTTTTAGTTAACACATGTGTTGTATGCTTGTGTCTTTGTTCAGGCCTCTGCCTCTGAAGATGCCAAGAGGGACATGGCAAACACAGTCATGGGCATATACACACTTCAAAGAGATGTGGATGGGCAGCCAGAGGACGTGGGAATTGTCATCGAAGGCAATATAGTCGTGGACAACTTGGGCAGCGTGATTGTGGGGTTTGTCATGCTATTGGGACTTATTTATGCCCTGGATTTGAGCTTTCCGGACAACCTCAAACACACCTTCGAGTTCATGCAGAAGGTAGTGATGAATCTGGATGGGCACAAGCTGAATGGTAAAATCGAAAGTCTGAAGATCAAGTTGTTCGATTGAAATGTGAAAAAGAAGTGACTCATGAGTTCATTGTTGTCATTTTATTCACGAGTTTCCTAATCAGAGCAGATTGAGCCGTTATATCAATCATTTGTTCTGTGCTTTTCTGTATTTGTTTGTTTCAACACACTGTAACACTATTTCCATATGTTGGTGTTTGCAGTGCACTCTTCATGTTATGTGTTATTGTCCTGTTAGAAGAGCAGTGCATACCCCTGTTATATTGTATTCATTGTATTTGGCAAAGGGAGATTTGTAAGTTAATTATAGGAGTTCCATTTCTCAGCCATTTTAAAAATGGTATTATCTTTCAGAAATGTTTTTCATCTTTCAGTGTGAATTCATTCATTTTTAAAACACTTGAATGGAATGGAGGATTGTTTTGAATCATGTGAATTTAAAAATAAAAAAAACTAAACCATGTTTTCTATCATGTGTAACACATTTTTATTAAATTATATTTAACCTCATTATTTCATTTTCAATTAATTAAATAGGATTTAGGTGGACTAGCATTATCTAAATTCATAAAGGTAATGTTATCATTTTATTTAAACTCTATTTGAAAAATTTGAGTTGGACTAACTCATTTACATTATACTGCATGGATGCCATTAGTTTGAGTTTGTGCCACATATATTTATTGGATGGAAAACCTGCCAACAATAAAATTGAGTTAATCCAATGAGTTATTTCTTTGAGTGCACATGCATAAAATAATTCAACACTGTAACCCTCCCTCCTCCCACTGTTTTGTGCTACAGCCATGTCATTGTATTGTCATACAGTTTTTTCTTGTGTTTGTCTGTCATGGAAAATGTATAATATTTAAAATCATAAAAAAAAGACTATCACAATGTGTGAATGCTGTCCTTGTCACATTGATTAAATGGTGCCATTCTAAAATGTTCCTTTTTAGTTTCTTCCCTTTTTCTTTCCTTTTTACAGTGAATGGTATGAAAGATCCACGGATTGACCGTGCCATCGGGGTTTGCAAAAAGGTTGTAAGTACCTTTTCCTTCAGTTGGAAGAAGAGAAGAGATATGGCAGTGGTACAGGCTGAGCTCGGTCTACCATCTCATAACCTCATCACCGAGTCCCTAACCAGGTGGGGTTCGAGACAACTGATGGTAGAACGACTGTTGGAACAGGAGAAGGCCATAGCACAGGTCCTGGGAGCAGACAAGAAAAGCAGGCACCTAGTGCCCACCTGGCAGGACATTGACGTGTTGGAGTCAATTAATAAAGCTGTAAGTCCACTGAAGGAATTCACTGATGCCTTATCTGGTGAGGCCTACGTGAGTGTCTCCTACCTCAAACCGGTAATCCACCTGTTAAGCAACAGCCTTCTGCAGCCAGAGGAGGGTGAGACCGAGCTCACCAAGCAAATCAAGAGCAACATACTCAACTACCTCAACAATAAATACAATGACCCTGTAACACAGGAACTCCTGGACATGGCCTCACTCATGGACCCCCGGTTCCGGACAACCTATATAGTAGATGACCAAGTGGACGGAATCAAGAAAAGAGCTGTTACTGAGCTGATGTCTCTTCCAACTGAGAAAAGCAAATCCAAGCCTGGCACATCTGTGCAGGACCTGCACCAAGAAGAAGCTGCTGAACCTGTTACAAAGAAGAAGACAACTCTAGCAAGCTTCTTCAACAACAAGACACTGACAGTGTCGTCTACCTCCCTGTCAGAGCAGGACAAAATTGAAGCTGAGCTGTCATCCTACTTGTTGTCGTCTGAGACAGACCCACTGCAGTGGTGGAAGCTACATGAAGCTAACTTCCCAAGACTGAGTTATCTGGCCAAGAAATATCTCTCCATTCCTGCCACAAGTGCCCCTT